ACAAATGGTTCAATTCTTTATTTCTGCATAAAAATTAAGTTTTTTAAAACAATAAATCTGTAGTCAGAAAGAAAACTTACTAAGCATTATAAGAAAACTTATAATTAATTGAGTGTTTTTAGCTTTTTGAACTGTTCATTTTTGGCCATTTTTTTATATTCAAATAGTTCACCAAAGATCCATCTTGTTTTTTCTTTTAGCAGTTACTCAAATATTATGCCATGTTTTCGAGACAAAATAAATGATTGTGGTGACGATAAACAACGACGATTGTTAAATGAGGTAGGATTTTTCAGGTCAAACACCAAACTATAGATGTATCTCAAACAGTAAAAAGAAAAAAAAAAGAACCAAATTTTTTTTCTACTGGTTAAAATGCTTTTGTTTTTGACACCAAAAGATTGTTACAAATGATGAGGGAAATTGAGTCGATTTCACTCCCTTTGTAGACAGAAAAAAATGTTGACTTTTTCAAACAGTGATCAATAGAATACCGATGATGTTAGCTGATTGTTTAGGTTGGTAAAATGATTATGTTTTTGTGTTCACCGTTCAGTCTCGATCGCCAACGACGGCTTTTACGTTACAGTGGCTGTATTGGTGATATTCTAAAGAGACCGGCAACTACCGGTTGTGATCTAAGTGATTATCACTACGGTAAACAGTTCTTAGATTGCAGGTAAACAACAAATTTCTTAAGAAGTCTTTTTTTCTTTTTTTTTTTTCAGCATCTTTCTTCACCCTCTCTTTGTCTCTCTTTCTTTCTTTATCTCTTTGTTTTGTCTTTCGTTGAAGTCTGTATAGATTAGAATTTTGTGATACCTGTAGAAAGCAGTGTCAAACTTTTTTTCAAAAGTTTAAAGAACTACAAACAGAAGAACAAAAGTAGAAATTGAAAAGCAATTTTATTAGCGACAATAATCTGCAATGGTTTACCAATATCGTTATTGCCAAACTTTTCACCTAAACATATACTTTTATCTAAACAAACAGTGTTTGAAAACAATAAAAGCTTCTCAAAAATACACCTATTCATTGACCTAAGACCACAAAATTTTTATTGTCTGTTTACTGTTAAACTTTAGTATATTAAATCTATCGAGAAACAACTTTTTTGGTTGATTGCTCAAACAGTTGCTAAGCAGTTGTAAATTATGCGAAAAAAAAGTTTAAATTAATTTCATAAAAAATCTAAAGTTCGAATTTCTTTTCAGTATCACGTTTGTGGAACAAAAAGCGACAACAATAAACAGAAATATTTACTGCTTATAACTATTTCAGTATTTTTATAGTTCACTACGGCTAAACTTTCAGAAGATTTTGTTCAACGCGTCCAACAGATTTCATATGCATGATGAAGACGTGGATTAGTGAGCAAAATATTTGTACGGTACGTGAAATTGAAAAACGATGTAGTAAGGATGCAGCAAATTTCTATGTCGATATGCAAACCATTGTCTTCGAGCCACTGTTTCCTGTAATATGTGAATATGACGGTTAGTCTAATTGTTTCTTATCTCCCCTTTTTTTTTGCTCGATTTAGATGAAAAACAAAAAAAAAATAAGTTAAGAAA